TCTCAACAGTGGCACTGTGACATGAAGTTCAACTCTCTCTTCTGCTTTACATGATATTAGATAAAAGAAAGGACCCAAAGAATCACTGATTACACTCCCACAAAATTTCTTAGATTTAAAGGAAGAACTGGATCTAGAGGATGCTTGGAGATGTAGAAATTTGGTTAAAAGAGACTACACTGGTATACAACCCCAAAGAAATTAGGTCAATCTTCCCACGCTGTCCCATTGCTCTATCACCTCGCCCTGGGTCTTCTTCTGTCGACCGTTGTCTCCTGCTGTCTCCTCCTTCCTCTGGATTTCCCACAGTCTGCTTCTTCTCCGCCTCTTATACAATCTTTGTTCTGTTACTGTTCACCTTCTGTCCCCAGATTTCCCGTCTCCTTTCTTTTTAAGACATGACTCCCCCAAATTTCCCTCTACTTCAGCACTCTTTCTCAAAGGCGGAATGCCGCTGACAATCGTTCCCGCCCTTCCTTAGTATGGCGGCTTCTTATTTCCACTCTTGTTTGCTTCCCTTCCACCCTCTGCATCTCGTCCCTTCCATTCCCTTCTCTTCATCGGGGCTCCTCCTTGTTTGATTTCTTCTTTTGGAAGCTTCCTTGTATGTTTGGGCACTTTAGGTTTCCCCAGATCTATACTCTGTTTATAGGCATCACAGGCTGCAGCGTGACAAGGAGACTGGTCAGGTAACCTGAAAAGCAAACACATACATGACTCAGAATGGAAAAAATTCCTTGCGGTCGTGGTTTGTAACCATACTATTCAAACATCATTTAGATTAGCACTGAACCATTGCATGTGCCAATGGCACTCGAACACTAAGGGAATAAAAGTGTAGTAGACAATGACATGCAAGGTTGAAGACAATGATGGAAAAGCATAAAAAGCACTGAAAAAAAGCAGAATCCTTGGCAATACAAACATTTGGCAAGCTGCTTTTTTTCCTCCCAGTAATTTGTTTGGCTATGTTGAATGTATTAATTTCAAAGCAAAAAGCAAAATTGGAGGACATTTGGCACAATTGCAAAAGGTATGTTAACAACATAAAAGAAAACAAGGCCCTAGGCCGGTGATGGCGAACCTATGACACACGCGTCCGCACTGACACGCATAGCCATTTTCAATGACACGCGGCCACATAGCACCAAATTCCGAAGGGCACACCCCTGGCTGGTTGCTTGCTTACTCGCTCCTCCAAACGGGAGAAAGGATCCTCCAGCCCCGCCCCTCGCCTGCCAATCACCCGGTTGCGCCTTTGACCTGGCCGTTTTTGGTGGAGGGAGGTGCGGGCTGTCTCTGCCCGGCGCGCACACACACAGGCGCACGCTTGGTGGTTGGGGTCTTTTTCTCCTCCTCCTCAGCTAAACCCATACGGCGCTGCTGCTTCTGTCTCAGGCTGGGACATCTCAAGCCCATCTTTTTTTCAGAAGTCCTCCCTGTGACTTCCTCTCACATTTTTATACAAGGCTATCATGTCTCCTCTCAGCCTTCTCTTCTTCAGGCTAAACATGTCCAGCTCTTTAAGCCACTCCTCATGGGGCCTGTTCTCCCAACCCTTGATCATTTTAGTCACCCTCTGGACACATTCCAGCTTGTCAATATCTCTCTTCAACGGTGGTGACCAGAATTGGACACAGTATTCCAGGTGTGGTTTAACCAAGGCAGAATAGAGCATGGGGAGCATGACCTCCCTGGATCTAGACACTAGACTCCAATTGATGCAGGCCAACATCCCACTGGCTTTTTTTTTTGGCCGTCGTATCACTTTGCCGGCTCATGTTGTCCACAAGGACTCCAAGATTTTTTTTTCACATGTACTGCTCTCAAGCCATGCAACCCACTTCCTGTATCTTTGCATTTAATTTTTGACAGAAGTCAAACCTGAAAACTCTTATTTACCCAGAGTCCCCCTTCCTCTTTTCTGATCTCCTTTCCCCTTCTAACAATTAAACATCACCTGGCTTGTTCTTGAGAAACTCTAAAACAATTCAAGCTGTCACAGTGATTTAAGGATGAAGACATGTCAAGATGTGACCTAGTAGACATGTGCCATGCCAAATGCTACATTTCTGAAGGATTGGGGTCCAATCTGCCCCTCTCTTCTGATAGGAGGTCCTGATTTATAAAGACTGCATATAGATCAAAATTCTACAAATGCTTTGCCTTCACCTCAGTTCTCAAAATACAAAGCCTGACTTCTATTTGCATGCAAGCTTCAATACCAACATAAATGTAATCTAAACCATTTAAAGCCTGCTTTCACACTTGCCAGCATGATGTAAAGGACCCAGAGTGTAAATGAAATTCAAGGGAGGAAGAGCAACTGTAATGTACAATGTAAGGTACAATGTCCCTCTCATAGGAACCTGCATGTCATAAGCATTTGATTTAAAATTACCATATTGAAATCAAATCTGATTTTTTTTAAATTATTTGGTGTGCATTGGAAGAGGGGTGGTCTTATACAGTGAGTATATCCCAAACTCTATATTTTAACTGGAAAAGTTGGGGGTCGTCTTATATGCCCTTTCGTCTTATATGCCGGAATATACAGTTATGCATTTTCTATAGGTCTATTCTTAAAATCCTCACCTTTGGCGGCTCCTCAATACATCGCTGACAGCATGACAGTAAAACAATTAGTAATAAAAGAGCACAGATTATTAGAAGAATTAGAGCTGCTGTCAATAAAGTTTCCATTGATGTTGAGGTCTTAAAATGCTGGGGCATTTAACCATTCACCTGAGGTCTAAAATGCAGGGGCAGATATGCTAATGTTCCATTGTGACCTCAGAGAATTTATGAGGTCAGGGTAGCCATGGCAAGGACAGAAGTCCACACTGTTGCAGGACCGCCCTGCCCCTACTAGGCCCAGCCCCCTGTTCAGCATAAGCCCCGCCCCCGACGCTCTGTTTTCCTCCCTCCCTCCCAAGGCTACCTGGCTTTGCATAGGTACCACCAAAGCCCTCCCAAGAGATGGCCATCCAGCCATAGAATATTACATTTTATTATTATGTGTTCTTGAACCAATTCTTCGGCATGGTATAGTATAGGCTATCATTTAACCGCTGTGATGTGGGAAATGCTGAGCCAACCATAACCTTGATTTGTATCACCTGTTTTATTCTCACCTTTGCCTGGGTTTTGCCAGTTCCTCCAGTCGGGATGAGCACCGTTTTTTCTTGATGGTGACTTTCGGAGTGGACGGTTCTATTGGAGACATAATGGCAAAAAATAATCCACGTTGTTTTGCTGCACTTAAACACAATGCTGACTTGTTTTAGGGACATGGCCCCATGACTCCAGTGCCACTACAATTCTGCTGGAGAAGTGGTGTCCTGAGCAAGATGATTAGCTGTCATGGTAAATGTAAAAGTGTTTCTTTTTGTGTGCAATTTTGATCTTCAGAGGGTATGGCCTCATTCTTCTGATCATAGAAATGTTTTCCATAAGTAGGCTGTTCACTTCAGGACTCGGTCTTCTGAGTCATGGAGAAAAAGGAGGATCAAATCCAAGTATGGCACATGTCAGCTCTTTCCACAGCATCTATAGTGTGTCAGCTACTGGCACTTCCTTTAAAAAAAAGCAGATTTGTAGTTCATAAAAAGTGATACTGTACCTGGGGTGGTTATAGCAAGAAGTCTAGTTTTTAATAAGTACTCCTCCCTTAATCTGTCCCGCCTCATCTGTGCTCTGATGTCCTGTAAGCAAGAATACTGGGATTAGACAAACTGAAAACCTCAGTGTTACTGCTACTAATTCTTAATAAGGGAAATGTGCAGAGACACTATTGTTTAGGTTCTGGTCTTAGCTGTGGGATAATCAAGAGATTTCCATGACTCAGTCAGTAGTAGTGATCTCTCTGCCCCCTCCCCCCCTCTCTTTTCCCCTCCTCCTCCTCCTCCTCCTATTATACATTCAACTTCCCATTGTGTTAAAATATTTGTATCTTGGCTCTCTTCAGCATGGAATAGCTTTTCGATCACCTCATCTTCCTTTTTTGCCTCCCCACACCCAAGTCGCCACTGCATTTCGGGAGAGGTAGGCAGGCAGCCAACCCCTTATACAAAATGGCTTCCAATCTTGAAATGTAAAATGGCCGCTCACCATGAGGCCAAAATAGCGGCAAGGCCCCGTCCCTCCAAAATGGCCACCGGGCCTCATCAGGAGGGAATCACCGTTGCCACATGGTGATGGCAAGAAGCGCCAAATGTGGCGGGGCGGGGGGAGAGGCAAACAGGCCCAGCTTACAAGAGGAGAGCCACAGACAAATGGCCGGCACAGCCACCGACAGCACGAGGCAAACTGGGAAAGGGAGGTGTCACAGGAGCCACCAATTGGTCTGCCCAGCCTCATGAGCAAGCGAGCAGCCCGCGGAGCCATCCCCCTGCCCATTGTGATGGCGCCCAAGCCAGGTGCCAAAGATGGCAGCCCTCACAGCCAGACAACCAATAGGGGAGGAGTGGGGAAGGCAAAAAAGCAGCACACCACCAGAACACAGCGCGCTGCCAGAGAAGCAGTGTGCCACCAGAGAAGCAGTGTGCTGGCAGAAAGCAGCGCGCTGCTGAAGAAGTGGCGGGCCGCAGGAGAAGCGCCACACTGCCTGAAGAGTGCGTCGCTCCCAAATAAACTGGTCCAGTTGGGCCTCGGACAACCTCCCAGGCTGGGCTCGGCCTGGGCACCATTGGCAGCTGCAGTTGCGCCTGAAGAAATATCTACCTCGCAAGAGGGAAAAGGAACCGCGCACCACCAAAAAGTGGAACAGCGCGCCACCGGAACAGCTGTGCGTTGCCATACAAATTGGCTCAGTTGGGCCTGACCCGGCCTCCCGTGCTGGGCCGGGCCTGTGCGCCGTCCGCTGTCGCTGCCACTTCAGGTGAGGAAGCAAATTGCTCTCCCTCCCCAACTGTGCAGGAGTGGGGAAGCCCCATATTACCAAACATATATAGATTCCAACAGATCCAACTTACTTCAGTTTGGATAATCTCAAGAAGCTCTTTGAGGTCCTCCTCCGTCACAATTGGCGGGAAATGCCATTTAGAGTGCTGAAAATAAAGAAGAAAAGGAACATATTTATTGTTTCCATCTAAAACCCAATCTAAAACCCAATCCATTTTTATTTAAAAAATGGCAAATTTTAAAAATATTAGATAAGTCTTTCATTTTAAATGCTATAGCATTTGATTCACTGCTATGCAGATTCTGATAGCCACGCATGGTAAGCATTTATTACCCAAACATATATCGATTCCAACAGATCCAACTTACTTCATTCTCGATAATCTTAAGAAGCTCCCCTTTCCTTTGTTCTGTGGCTTTCAGGTCCTCCTCCGTTACAATTGGCGGGAAATGCCATTTAGAGCGCCGAAAATAAAGAAGATAAGGAACATATTTATTGTTTCCATCTAAAACCCAATCTAAAACCCAATACATTTTTCTTTAAAAAATGGCAAATTTTAAAAATATTGGATAAGTCTTTCATTTTAAATGCTATAGCATTTGATTCACCGCTATGCAGATTCTGATAGCCACGCATGGTAAGCACCCAAACATATATAGATCCAACTTACTTCAGTTTTAATAACCTCAAGAAGCTCCATTTTTTTCCTCTCTACCATTTCAATGTCTTCTTTGGTTACAATGGGAGGGAAATTTATTACCCAAACATATATCGATTCCAACAGATCCAACTTACTTCAGTCTCGATAATCTTAAGAGGCTCCCTTTTCCTTTGTTCCGTGGCTTTCAGGTCCTCCTCCGTTACAATTGGCAGGAAATGCCATTTAGAGTGCCGAAAATAAAGAAGAAAAGGAACATATTTATTGTTTCCATCTAAAACCCAATCTAAAGCCCAATACATTTTTCTTTAAAAAATGGCAAATTTTAAAAATATTATATAAGTCTTTCATTTTAAATGCTATAGCATTTGATTCACTGCTATGCAGATTCTGATAGCCACGCATGGTAAGCATTTATTACCCAAACATATATCGATTCCAACAGATCCAACATACTTCAGTCTCGATAATCTTAAGAAGCTCCCTTTTCCTTTGTTCCGTGGCTTTGAGGTCCTCCTCCGTTACAATGGGTGGCAAATGCCACTTAGAGCGCTGAAAATAAAGAAGAAAAGGAATATGGGATTCCTACATGTAAACATGTATTTGAAAAAGGAGAGTAGATAATAACATTTTTATTTTATTTCAATAAATACTAAAAATGAAAATTTCCCAGTATGACACTAAGCTGTTAGTCCTCAAATGGCAAACACAGCAGTGGTACAACTGAGACTATTTACACACCGTATTTCTCTGACTGTAGAAGTCACTCCGCTAACATGTACATGAGAAAATGATTCTCAATAAATAGAGGTTTAATGTATGCTCTGTCTGATTGACTTTCAATTCCTGGTTGTGCTCTAGAGCAGAGCTTTCCAAACTGTATTGTGACGCGTTAGTGTGCCGGCTGCAGACTGATCCAACTTACTTCACTCGCGATAATATCAAGAAGCTCCCTTTTCCTTGCTTCTGTGGCTTTGAGGTCCTCCTCAGTTACAATGGGTGGCAAATGCCACTTAGAGCGCTGAAAATAAAGAAGAAAAGGAACATATTTATTGTTTCCATCTCACCTGAGATCAGAAGTGAAGCTCTAGTCTGTATGACTGGCAGCTGCCTATACAGGTTAAACATCATTTATCTGTAATTCTTAATTCCAAAATACTCTGAAATGCAATTTTTTTCTACATGGGCAACTCACATAGTGACACCTTTGCGCTATGATGGTTCCAATGTACAAAAACTTTGTTTCATGCACAAAATTGTTAAAAAATATTGTCTACAATTACTTCCAGCTATGTTTATAAGGTGCATATGAAACATAAATGAATTTTTGGTTGATACTTAGATCTCATCTCCAAGATATCATATTATACAAATATAGTGATTCCAAAATCTCCTAAAATTTAGACACTTCTGGTCCCAAGTATTTTGGAGAAGGGATGCATAACCTCTACTTGTGGAACTGTACTAAATGCTTTGGGGAGCAACCTGCTTGGTTTGCATGAAAGGGAGGAATTGTTTTTATGCTTTTCTCATATTGAATATATATTTTTGTAATTTTGTCTAAAATACACATTTGGGCAAGTCATTTCTCCTGAATATTTTCCCCTGAAGTAGTGAATATAAATGTTCTTTTCTGAATTTGAAAACTTAGTTGCAAAATTTAGAAAAGTGTGAAATTAGGTAAGTGTGCAGTAAAATGTGAGAAGAACATGGTTTTAGTTAGGTTTTATAGGTCCCAAAGTTTAAAATGTTTATTTATGTTTGTTTTATTGATTGCTTATTATGTTTTGTGTTTGTATTTTGATTGGTGCTGATTTTGTATTGTATTTCAATGTATTTTAGATGTTGGAAGCCACTTTGGGTCCCTTTGTAAGAAAGAAGGCGGGATATAAATAAAAGTTATTACTACTACTACTACTACTATTGTCTACATCATCACAGTTTAGAAAAGTCAGTCAGCATATGGCTGGTGGGGCAAGAGTGCAACCTGAAGAATGTGGGAATGGCATTTGCAGCAATTTGCTTCTTTGGGAGAAAGTTGAACAACCATTTCATAGGCTTAGATATAGGAAATAATTTATCTCCTCACAGCATATTCTCACTTTTGATATTATGCTAATTCATATTATTGCACTGGATAGCTGTGGATCAGAAAAAAATCCCAGTCCAAAACCAATACTCCCAAGAATTTGTTAAATGCAGCAAAAGCAAAACAAAAACAGACTCTGTGCACTATTTGATGTACTTCAATAAAGCGTAATAAATTGAATGTTTGGGTGGTGGAAGAGATGGACATCTCAACCTCAAGAATGACAGAAAACTCCACAATGGCACAAGTCTAAATTTTTTAGTTTAAAAAATGGCTCAAGAACTGGGTCGACTTATCTATAGGTCATTGTAAGTACCATACCTTAACTTTTATTTAAAAAGGAAATTTCTCTGAGCAGAATATCGAAAGGCAAGGTCTTAGTGTATCCTGGAATCATCTAAAAGAAGCACCGATTCCCTCTCTTCTTTCCACTGGGCAGGAGAATGGTGGCCATTGCCACCAGAAACAACTAGACTCCTGAAGCTTTTCCTTCTGTATGAAATGGCCTTTGACTTATCCACAAGTTATATCAAATTTCATAAATTTGGCTAGCAGGCCTGTCCTCGACTTATACAGGAGGTCAATTTATGTGCCAGTGTATAGAGTATCTTAGAAACATCAACATTAGCTATGCAATCTCATCAAGACTCAGAATGGAATAAATGATTTCTTCGTATGGCTTTACATAGTTGTGAATATTTGGCAATGAAGTTGTAACTCTAACTTTATTTACTTATTCAAGATGCTTAGCTGAATACCAATGATCTGAACTGCCTCCATCAGTCAGATTAATAGAGATGCATGGACAATAAAAATATCCCAAGCCACAAACCACCAGCAGGTTATGCAGAAGCCCCATATTTAATCTACTGATAAATTATTCAGTGTACTTGGGAGTCCAACCTACTACTTAATGTATATCTGGAGGTCAAATTAGAAGCAGTAATTTTGCATTTTCGATTTGCCGTGTTTGCTAATATATTAGAACCTTCTCCTCTCTTGCAGTAATGGCTCCTGTTAACTCACTTTTGTTGTATTAGGAAACAAGACAAGCTTTTTCTCATCCAATGCCAATTAATTAATCTATTCAGAAACCTTTCAACTAATTTAGAAGCTATTGCAATGGGATTTTCTACTATGCTTACAAAGAAAGGAGATAGGGATGTTACGTGATTTCAGCTACTGCAAGGCCCACAAGTTCAGAGCCTGCCGTGTCATGCTCCCAAAAGACTAGGACAGAGATGGGGTGAAGGCAATGATCAGAGGCACTTGTTTGAATTGTTCACCATTTTACTATGCCATTGTATCTAGCAGAACTTGGGCATCCTTAGATTTTGATATCCCTGGAGAGCCCAGGGAACATCACGTAGGAAAATCAATCAGAGGAAGAACTGAATTGGTTTTGGAGAAGCTGTGAATGATTAAATAGTTCTAGGGCTAATTCGTGATTTAACTGCATATTTATAGAATTCTCTGTTTATTTTATTTAATTTAAAATTGAGTCTGTTTCTGTTTTAAGTTTTGATTGAGAAACCTATCAACTACCACAGTAAACCCACAGAACAACACTTCCATTGCTTCCTGCGGGGATCACCTTGAGGCACATTGGTCTGATCAAACATGTGATCTTAAGAGGGTGGGATAGGGATCCAAGGAGAGGTATAGGGATCCAAGGACTGGAGCTGCAGGGCCAGCCGAGAGAGAAGATCTGGTCTTGAGCAATGTAATTAAGATGCTTCTATATCTTGGTAGGCAAAATGTCATTCTCCAGATATTGGTGGATAACAAGTCCCAGGAACTGCCATTGGAGGACTACACTTTGTAACCACCCACAATGATGACTGTAAAAACAAAAAACAATATTCACTAATCAAGTGCAGTACTGGATGCATGACTTCCTGTTTTAGCCAATATTCTTTCCTCCATAACATTCAGTATTCCATCATGTAATTGGAATTTGGTTGATGGGATACATTGGTGTTGAGAAACAGAAAATGCTGAGAAGAGTATGGTGGACAACTGAGGCCAATCAGATTTCTGGCTTTTCCCCATCTGCCATGCATTGAAACTTTGGCCTTGGATTCACCACTATGCTACTTAAACTTTTTCTTTCTTTTGCACCTTTATTTCTAATGGCAGCTGACATGAAAAACTGGCTTCAGTGGTATTATTTTATGGTCAACAAATTGGTTACTTTACAAGCCCAGTCAATTCAGTGACGTGGGTCATGATCTTGACAAAGTAGAAAGTCAGAAGTTTTTCTGTTCTCTGTTTCTAGTCCCTTATCAGGGTGGTTTTCTTTTTAATCTGTCTTTGCTTCCATGATAGCGGGAGGCTGGCTTGTCAGTTTTCCCCTCTCTTTTTAATACCACCCAGGGATGCAGTAAAGAACCATTTCACATTATCGTTTGAAAAAGCCTTTTGACGGGTGGCATATCAGCTACATTTCACAAACCGATAGCCAGGCCCAGACAGGTCTCAGAGGTGAAAACTGAAAGCCAGCATCTAATGATAAGTAATATCTACTCGAATCTTATGAGGAAAAGGTAGGGGACAGCCAAACTACTGAAAAACTATCTGCCCATGGGCAAAAAGACCAGTATGTGACACTGTATTTCTTGCATACAGAAATATTTTTAGCTTGGAGCTTCTGTTATTTGATTTCAGTCTTTTTCCTCCCACCTTATGTCAATATATTGTTTAATATGGTACCTCCTTCCCTCTTTTATTTTTTATTTTTTTGAGGGACAAGTGTGGGGCTATTCCCAACTCTGAGAGTAAAACTGAACAGTAAGAAAGGAGATAGTGTAATTTTCCCAGTGGCAGTCTTGGACTGTACTGGGGCTGCCGTTTGAGGATGGGAGAATAAAGCCACCTCATTCTGCGACCAGAAGAGCAGCTTGAGCTAGAGCTACTGGAATCAGCTAGTGAAGACTTATCTAGTGTAGATATTAGATTATATCTTCAATGAAGCTTCTGTTAAAGGCACAGGAGCAAGCTAAGCTTTGCTATGTGTTTCCTATGCCACTGAAAGGAAATGTTACCCCTCCAGTGCTGTTTCTTTGAAAATTAATGCCCAGAACCACTGTATCTTTGAGAGATACCCAGAACCACTCTTACATAAAATGTCCTTCCACATTTTTAGGTACTAAGTGGTGAA